AACACACACAGATTATATATATAGTTATATGTTTCTATATCCTGGTATAAATGTCTTATTACATATCTTGATAATTTATATTTTGATATCTATTGGGGTATATATGTTATTGGGGTATCCTTCGAGCCCCAAAGTGACAAATACGGGCATGCTGGAGAGCACCAGAGGAGGAACAGAACGCTGTTTGCACCAACCCTGCAAAATCCCAGGGGCTGCATCAACCCAGGGCCCCGAGCGTCGGCATCAGTCGTCCTGTACAAAAGTCTGCGACCTCCGCGCCCCGCACGTCCAGGGTCTAAATGCATAACTGCTGACCGGATCAGACCATTGGGTACTGCTAACGTAATTCTTACTTTTAGTCTGTGGTTCAGGGAAAACATCCTGATTCAGTTCCACTCATTAGTAAAATACATGACATATTTGTGAATAAGCCTTAAAACTGTGCAGTTAGCACCAAAAATCTACCGTCACTGTAATCAATGCCTTTGGTGTAGATGGAGCTAGCACAGCTGACAGACTCCTTGCTCACGCAGATGCTGAAGTCTACAGAGAGGTAACGGCGTGCAAGGCAAGGCAGGAATTTGGCCAAACACGTGAACATTTTTCCTCCCCCTTGCCTTCTACCTTTGCCCCTGCTGCCGTCGGAAGCGCTCAGACCTCCTCCACCACAATGTTCCGCATCAGGGTATTCCTACAAAAAATCCTGATTCTTCTGCACGTTACTGCGTGTGTTGTTGTTGGCAAAACCCTGATGATACTGTTCCCCAACACTATGAAAAGATACATCCTAAAACAGGGCGAAAAGAGCAGAATGAATGAGAATCCAAAGTTCAGCTATGAAAACTGGGGTCCGACTTTTTTCAGCTTCAAGTATTTGCTCTTTGTGCTGAAGGTGAAGTGGAAGAGGCTGGAGGATGAAGCCTATGAGGGACATCCTGCTCCCAACACGCCGGTGGTGACTTTCAACGGGGAAGTTTGTCACCTCTTTGATTTCATGCAAGGTCAGTAAATCGGCCGTGTGGATGGGTTTGGTTTGCTAAGGTGATAAATGAGAAGAGGCTGCTGAGGGAACAGGGGCGGGCAGCTGGCACGAGAGTGCACGACACGGCAGACCAGACTATCAGAATGCCCTTGATGGAAAAAGAAAAAGATGCAGCACATCCACTCCAGCCACCTGCCTCTTGGTTTTCAAAAATAACCTGTGTTTATCATCCTGACTACAATATCCCTTCACGGCAGTAAGCTTACAAACATCTTGCAAAAGCTGGCTCTGCCTGGAAATGCCTTTTCACTGAAAGCCAAGATAATAATTTGTTTTAGGGAGAGAAGACCCAGAATGGGAACCGTGTGCAGCGACTGACGAGTGTTGGCTGTCACTCCCTGTACGTACAGAAAGTCCCACACCAGCTCCCTTAGCCAGGCTAAAGCCTAGAAAGCACACGATGGTTTTTTCCAGATTCAAAGTGGTTAGAAATAAAGCAGAAGAAAAAGTGGCTGCTTTGTACTTTGTCCGCTGCCTCCCACTGAGATCTCTGTAGAATGTGGAATTAATCATTAAGCTGCCATCTCTATCCCCATGGGAGGGATTGCATCCTTCTCTAACTTTGCTTTTCTAATTATGTATAGATATATTTATGTAGAAAATAGGATGCAAATTTGGAAAAGAGATGCACAGTATCTACAAGAAGGTACCCGCTTCATTAGATTCTTTAGGATGCGGACCTATGTTAGCAGCAGTTTTTGAAGTTAAGCTCAGCCAGAAGGAAGATCTTGAACAAATTTCAGGTAATTTAGCATAACCATAGACTAAAAGAGGCATTAAAAATCCCGCAAGTTCTCTTAAATCAAAGCCTTGCAAACAGATGCTAACACCTGTGGGCACATACTGTGTTAATTTGTAAGCAACTGCATAGACAGTTTTGCCAGTGGCTTGTAACATTAGTTTAATAAATAACAACATATAACCAGAGTTCTGTTTGGACAGGAAATTGCAGAAATACACTGAAAGCATGAAAGCCTGTGATGCATGACTGAAAAGCCTGCAGCTTCCACTCGGCTCAGCTAGAACTGACACCTCTGAAAAAAAAATCAAGATGTGTCCAACAGGTTCATTAAAAGGCCTTAGGACTCTGTGCTTATATGTCCATCCCTGAACCACTGTCCTTTCAAAAACCTTGCAGATGACGATGTTTAGTATTTTTGAAGTTCCTTCACACTAAAGATCTCGTGGTGGCCGTGATGTGCTACATGCTCTACATCCATTTTCGATCAGTTCCCTGTCCCAAAATGTTGGTAACTTGAGAAGTGGCTCTCACGATGAGGACAGGAGAGAAGAAGCCATGTGACTGTGCAGTGCCACCTGCCTTCACCGGGCTTTACAAAGGAAAGGGTCCCCCTCAGTTAAGCTCCTTGCTGGATCCTGCACAGGTCAGCACCAGGCTAGGGAAAAGAAAGCATCTTTATGCCCGTTTTGCATAGATGCCCATTTTAATGTCCTAAGAAGAAAGTTCTGGGGTAAGTGACTTACCTACTGTTGCCCAGGAAACTCTCTGGCAGAGGCTCAAATCACTGTATGTATTTAATTCTCTCCTTCCTCCCTCCACTGATTTAACCACAAACTGTCCTGTTTTTTTTTTTCCAGATAACCGACCTTTAATCCTGAATTTTGGAAGTTGCACCTGACCTTCATTTATGTTAAAATTTGATGAGTTCAACAAGATCATCAAAGATTTCAGCTCAATAGCAGATTTCCTTATCATCTACATCGAAGAAGCTCACGCAATAGGTACAGTACCAACATCACAGTAATGCCTACTGAAACTTCAGACATCTATCATTCCCTTTAGGAAGAAAAATCTGTTAGCAAAGAAGGGAACTGCAAACGGGAAAAAAATCTTCCTCAAATCAAAAGTGGGAACACCAAATCTAGGTACCAGTTTCTGTCCCTAATTCTCCAAAGATTTT